CTAAGGCAGTGTTTTGTAGATGGCACAGTTTGTTTTTAAAACCTCTTAAAGTTGTGTGACCTTAGATTAACAATCAGGACACAAGACGGCACTTTCTTTTTCACATCCAGTTTGACCTGACAAATTCACAGCAACTGATATTTTCTTTCTGACCTGCATTACAGAAAGTTGTTTGCAGTCTTAAATTAATCACAAACATAACATGTTGTTTTACGTTTATCAAGGTTGCTGCGCCCACAAAGACGGTCCAAGTGAACGGACGACTGGGAACAATGAGAGCAACCTCCCCAGCACTCCCAGAGCAGTGAGAGGGAGGGTCGCCCCTCCACAGCTTCATGCCATTGTGGTTTTGAAGGGTGCATATGTAAAATCTGAGTTATTATGTTTGAGTCGTGGGCGTTGTGCCTTAGACTTTTGCTTTATGTTGGTTTTGCAAGGTGGGAAGCAGGAAGAATGACTATGAGTTTCCTTTTAAAACATTTCTTTTGTGAAGGGAATTATTCTGTCTCTGCAGCCAAATCCCTGTGTTTTCTGTCTAAAATGGTGAAATATTTGCCTTTCTTTTTCCATACATACATACATATATAAATATATACATATATTTATGCATATATTTACATCCTTAGCTGCAGACAATAGATTTTTTTTCAATCATTTTGTTGATCTTTAACCTGTTGTTGTTGTAAAACATATCTTGCCATGTGAATTCAGTAGTTTAAACTGAAGCCTGTACAAACAAACCGTGTGCCAACATAAGTTAATCCATATGGATTTTCAGATTTTGACCACTCTATATCATGGATGCCTTATACTGCTCCTCAGTGTTATGTATATGTATATGGTGTTTGCTTTACTACTTCTCCGCTGCTTGCTGTAACTAGATCTTCAGATGCTTCCAGAATTGAGCAACCTAATATTTGTTAAACAAACTAAGATTGTAGAAATCTTAAAAATACACAGAGGCTACAAAAACATGGACAAATCTGTGCCAGATTTGGTTCCTGATGCCAACTTGTACAGTTCTTACTGATGACATTCTCATTATTGTTTTTGTCATAGTTCCTGACCGTATTTTAAAATGGACACCGTCATCTGGTTTAAAAGAGAAGTGTTGTTTTGAAGAAATTTGATGGAGTAGAGTCAATTTTCAGCTGTTGGTCCAACTTAGTTTCTTTAGATGATATGAATAGTTTGTGGATGGACTTATTTATTTATCTTTTGATAATATTATAATAATTCCACACATTAATAAATTAAAGTTGCAAAACTAAATATTTATCTTTAAAGTAACTGGTCATTGTTTTACTCATCATTTAACTTTAAATGATAAAAAGTAAAGCAAAGTAATATGCTCACAGGTTCACACTATTTTCCTCTAAATAGGAATTTCATTTGCATGATGTTCTACGGTAATTATCCCACATAGATTGTCATGTTTTTCTCTTTTTACTACCAGGGCTTTTCTTTTTGCAACTGGATGGCATTAATATTCATATACAGTCTATGCTCCTGTCAGTTGCGCTGTTCATGAGTAGTATGTCAGACATGATTTGTTCCTGATCCTACAGAAAGTTTTATCTGCACAGGTGAGATTTTTAATAATACTTCCAATATTACGTGTTAGGATAAACAGTCACTGCTTTAGTCCCGCTGAAGTGATGTTATTGTATGAATGGTACAGAAATGATGGAAGTCTGATGTTTACCCTGGAACTGTAGATGAAGGAGAAATGCACAAATTCAGATTTGAGTGTTTGCTGCTGTTCGGCTAAGCAAGTTAGTTTTATAGAGATTTATAATAATTTATAAGTAGATTCAGGACTTATTTAACATTTTT